ATATATGCCTGAGTTAATAATATACAAGTATTTGATACAGAAAACCTTTGATAATTATCATAATAACAATATCATCAGATCATTGACTTCTGGATATTGAAAAAAAGAAATAAAAAATGCCTACCTCAGTATTTGTTGATATCAGTTGAATAAATTAAATGTACATATTTAAATTGTAAGTGGGTAATGTGATAAAAAAAAATCACAGGACCAAGTGTTTAATCATCCAATTTTTTGGAAAATATTTTGTGAATATTTATTATAAAAATATAAATGTTTTCACTACAAACCATCTTACATTAGTAGACAAGGCCATCTACATTTGCACACATAAACTCTCACACAGACACACAGATCAGTCTTGAGACATAAAATTAGGCATCTGAAAAGGATTCGTAACAGTATTGCTCTTTCAGATGCTTCTGGTTTACAAAGTATGTTAAAAAAATCATAACACAGGCAACACAGACACATGATTTACTCTATGCTCAAAAAAAAATCAATGCACTGTGTAATGTTAGAAAATAAATAAAGTAATCATAATCTTTTTGTTGTAGGAAAAAAAGCTGAAAATATAATTCAAAGAAAGATAAAATATAATACAGATGATTTTTTGTCTGCCTTTTTTAATTAAAAATCTTGCGCAATTTTCATCCGGTCTTTTATACATACAAACATTTGCACATAAAAATGAATGACGACGTACACATAATGGAATCTATAGTGCTAGTTGCTCTCTTTAAGATGGTTTTACATTATGTACATGCTTTAAAAAAAGRTATCAGCAACAGCAGCATCCACAGGTAGAACAGGAAGACAGAACTGACAGACTGAACAGGGCTGGGTTTCCCAAAAGCACCAACAGCACCCATGTGCTTTAATTAAGCTTAGTCTACAGCCAATGTAGGAACTTAGTCATTCAAAGTGCTACAGTAACATGTACCAAGTGCTTAAAGAGGCATAGAAACAGCATCTTCACGTTTAAACATTATGCATCCAAGAGCACAAAGCATCAAAGTGTCTGTTCAAAAATACTGGGTAAGTGTTGCACTGAGGGACCAGCTGGGTGACATCAAAGCAAGAGACTAGCATCTTTAAATGTGTACTTTCTTAAACAAAGATATTTAAGGTGCCTTTAGGAAATCCCACCATAGAAGTATGAGGATACTCTATCTGAAAACAATATTTTATTTCAACTGCTGCATTGTGTTTGTCAGGGCATTTTAGACCTAATCAGAATGGGGTGATTGGTGGTTGAC